TCATAATCTTTGCTTGAGTGGTCCAGTTCATCCACTTTATCTTCCAGTCTTGATACTCTGTTTTCCATTTCATTTGTCCTATTGGTGAGGCTTTCTCCTGTCGTTTCTAATTGGCTTACTGTATTAGTCAGGGTTCTCCAAAGAAACAGAACTGGTAGAATGAATATATAGAGATTTATCAGCTTAGCTCACCGGTAGAGTCCGAGTATTCCAACAATGGCTGCACCACACTGGAGAGGCTGAGAATCTGTAGTCGCTCAGTCCACAAGGCTGGATGTCTCAGTAGTCCCAATCTGATGCTGAAGGTCTGACGAATTCCAAAAGATCAGCTTCTCTGCAGTCTATAGCAGCAAGACGAGCTCACCAGCAAGAGAGAAGGTAAGCAGCAAGAAGCCTGGAATTCTCTTCCTTGGCCTTTTATACTGGATGCCATCAGAAGGTAACACCTACATTTAGGGTGTGTCTTCCAGCTTTAGATGATCCAATCAAGAAGATTTCTTTCATTTCAGTTAATCCCAGATCCAATCAAGTTGACACCCAGGATTAGCCATCACACTTACTGAGTGGAGTGTTTCACTTCCTTCTTCATTTCAGCCTGAGTATTCTTCAGTTTTTCTAACTTCTGAATTCATTCAGAAGTTTATCTCAATCTTCCTTCGGTTCTTTGATTTGTTTGTGTGTTCTTTAAATTCACTGAATTCTTTTATCATGTTTATAATTGTTGTTTTGAGTTCCATGTCCTACATTATCTCCTCTAGCGGACTATTGGTATTTGGTGGCTATATGGTATTTTGGTTTTTCATGTTTTTTCTCTGTGATTTTGACTTGTGAATTTCTTTTGTAGTTTCTGATTCTTGTGTGAGAGTCAAGCCTTCAAGTTTAGGTCTGCTTCTTTTTGTGTATTTTATGTATCTTTGTGGTTTATTTTTTGGGCACGAAAGGCTGGTTCCTCTAAGCTTCCAGTTCTCTCTTTTGATTTTATATTGGAGTGACCAGATTGCTTTTGTCTTCAGGAGTTGCCACAGAGGCCCAAGTCAGATGAGGATCAGATACTCTCAGGCTTTCTCCTAAGGTCTGGATCCCTCCAGGATAGATTTTGGCCCCAGGAATTGGGTGGTTGGACTGGCCTGGGTGCTGGGCCCAGGAAAGATGCTGGTCTAGGGCAGCTGGTGGCCATGTCACCCAGAGATGCAAAGGAAGATGGGGTGGGAGGGGGCTCCAAGGGCCCCTGGGGACTGTACTGAGGAGCTGGGTTGGTCTGGATGCAGAGGACCAGGAAGAGGAAAGGTCAGCCCTGGCATCCAGGAAAGAGGCTTGTGGGTTGTGCAGACCCAGGGAGGCAGAGGGATGTGAGGGTGGGGCCAGGCCCATAGTGCCCCTGGCGACCCGGGAAGGAAGTGAGTTGGTCTGGATGCACAGGATCAGGAAGAAGCAGTGGTGGTTCCCCAGGTGTCTGGGGCGCCAAGACAAGGAATGGATCTGGGCCCAGGCTAGGAGGAGAGACAGGTGGGGAAGATGGGAGGGTAAATGAGGCTGGGGGATTCAAGGCATGGAGGGCAAGATTGACTTACCTAGGAGAGAGAGGGGCCTGCGGGTAAGAGAGAGGCCTGTGGGTCCTGCAGGCCCAGGGAAGCAGAGGGAGGTGAGGGCGGGGCCAGGCCCAGAAGCAGTTCTCCTTGGGAACCTGGGAAGGAACTGAGAGTTGGTCAGGATGCACAGGATCAGGAAGAAGCAGTGGTGGTTCTCCAGGTGTCTGGGTTGCCAAGACCAGGAATGGGACAGAGCCCAGGCTAGGAGGAGAGACGGGTGGGGGAGATGGGAGGGTGAATGAGGCTGGGGGAGTCAAGGCACAGAGGACCCAATCGACTTACCTCAGAGAGAGAGAGAAGGTTGGAGAGAGGCCTGCGGTCCGGCAGGCCCAGGGCCTCTGTATTCTTATCAGTGTGTGAGGACGGCTTTTTAAAAAATTGATGAGTATGTTTATTTTAAATTTTCACAGTGTTTAATTGCTTTCCAGTTGCAAGTTCTGTAGTCCTATTTACAAGGATACTTTTTTCCTATACCCATGCCAATATGTTATTTATTAGTTTTAACTGCTAATTTGAAATGGTCTTAATTTTTAATAATTCTTTATATATTAAATCGGTTATATAATTTTCATTTTCAGTATGATTTTAGAACTAAAATAAGAATTGCATTTTTTTATAGGTCATTCAATATTAACAGGGTTGCAGCTCAGGCTGTTGAAGATGTTTTAAATATTGGTAAGTACTATATGTCATAACAGAATTACACTATGCTATATAATATACATGTTATCTATTTGCTATTATAAATACAAAGTATTAAAGCTATTTCTCCCTTTCTCTTTCAATAGCAAAACGACAAGGAAATTTGACTCTTCCATTGGGCAAAGAATTGGTGGAAAAAGGTTGGTACCAAATGATTATTAGTCACCAATAGCTTAGTCTCTATCACTTTTGAGAATGAACAGTGTGATATGTGGTTGTTTAGTTAGTGGAGTACTTTTTTGGACATCGATGTTTTAATACAATATATTGTTAAATGTAGCAAAACAATATAACAAAGCTAGACTTCAAATAATTTGCTTTATTTATTTATTTATTCATTCATTCATTCATTTTGTGTTTATGGCATTTGTGTGGAGACCAGAGGAAAAGTTACTGGAGTCTGTTCTCTCCTTCCACCATTTGGGTCCCAGGGATTGAACTTAGGTCATCAGGTTTGGTGCAAAGTATCATCTTGCCAACCTTAAACTGAACTTTTATTTTTTTCAAATTTTAAACATTTATTTTATATTTGATTCTATGCTATGTGTGTCTGTCTGTGAGGGGGTATGTGTGCATGTGAGTTCTGGGGCCTGTGGAGGCCAGAAGAGAGTGTTGGGTCCTTTGGAGTTGGAATTATAGGCACTTATGAGACATTGAATGTGGGTTGTAGGATCTGAACCTGGATCCTTAGGAAGAGCAGAAAGTGCTCTTAACTACTGAGCATCTGTCAGCTGGGCTTTTATACTGTCAGTTATGTTCACCCTGAAAAACAACTGATAGGTCAGAATATGACCTAGGAGATAGAAATAGTGTAAACAGGAAGAGCATATCTAAGTTTGTGACATTTCAGTAGGTTTTTCCAGATTTTTGACTTTGCTTTTCGTGGGTTTAGATCTATAAGGATTCTCATTTTCAATTTGAGACTTAAAAGATTATTTTAATCATCAGTTAGCATTAGTACTAAATCTGTATCAAGGAAAGGAAAATTGGCATATATAATAATCAATTCCTAGTTATATGATTTGGCTTTACACATCATAAAGAACTGAATAAAGGTTTAAGGTGATAAATATTCTGAGTATCTTGTATTGATCACTCAGTGTAGACATGAATAAAAAAACACCTTGTGCCTTATAACTTTGTACAAATATTTATGTATGTAACAAAAATTATATTAAAATTTCAAACCCAAACATGATAAACATAAGACAGCTGAAATTTATGTCTTTTATACTAAGGTTATATACAGAATATAGGGAATAGACTTTTACTCAGCAAATATATGAGAGTTTGACTGAGTTAATATTATTCCTTTGACAGTTTGGCCATCTACAGAAGCCATAGTAAGTGCCAATGGTACAATCACTGTTACAGACATGCCTCAAACTTTTCTTTTGAGGTTTCTTTCAGAAGTAGCACATTTTTAATTTTAATGGATAAGTTATATTACAGACCCAACCTTACCATGTTTTTTTCAACCTTACAGTGGTTAAAAAAATGATAACATTTTAGTAGAAGCTTCAGAGTTTGAATGTTGATCTTTTCCCAGGCTAGTGATGCTTTGTGATAACGCCTGTGACCCTGCGCAGTGGCAGAGTGCTGTAAGCTCACAGTCAGCCACAAGATCAGAGGGTAAAAACAGGATTTGGGTACTCTCTAGTATTCTGTGTTATGTGATGTTCAGCAGGTTAGGTGTATTGAGTACATTTTCAACCTAAAATATTTTCATGTTAATAACTTTATTGACATATAAACTTACTGTTAAGTTGAGAAAGACACATATAATTCTAACGGTAGTTTCACAAATAAGGCATGTTACTAGACAGTATTTATATTTGTAATGTGTTGCTCAGTTAAATTTCAATTCTGAACTTCGTATAGTTGTCCTTTTGTTGTTGTTTTGAAAAGAGACCATCTCACTGTGCAGCACAGGCCGGCCTCAAATTACTCCTGGGCTTAAGCCATCCTACTGCCTTAGAGTAGCTGGGATTACAGACATGTGCAGCTATGTCTGGATTTTACAGTTGACTTTAATTGGTTTATGGTTTGCATGACAACCCTCAGGTGTCTCTTGGTTAGAGAGAAAGCAGGTCCCAAAGGTTTCTAAAAATACCTTTAAAAATGGCATATTCTTTGGGGAAAGTTTATTGTTTGTTGTTGTTTGAGACTGCATTTTTGTTTTTTTAAAAAAATATTTTTATTGGGGAGCTGTAGAAATGGCTCAGCAGTTAAGAGCACTTGCAGAGGATCTGAATTTGATTCCCAGCACCCACATGATGGCTAACAACCATCCTAAATCCAGTTTCAGGGGATCCGACACATTCTGACCTCAGGCATTGCACAACACAGTGTACTTACATACATTGCACTTATATACATGCAGGCAGTACACTCATACACATAAAATTTAAAAAAAAATTAAAAATATTTTAATTGAGTTTTTGTGCATTTCATATAATCTTAATAAAGTTTAGGACCCCTCCTCCATCTGTGCCCTATATAGCCCTTCCCCCCTACTGGATTTCGTGCATTCTGTCATACATATTAAGTTCTATCTGGTCAAACATTCAGATCTCCTTTGGTGCAAGTTCATCTACTGAAGTCTAGTCAGCCTATTTAGAGTCACTTCCTTAAAAAAAAAAAAAATGTACCTGACCCAGTAGTGATCAGTTGCCAATAGTTCTTTGGCTAGGGTTGGGGCCTGCTGCCCATTTCCCTCGTTCTATGCTGGGTTTTTGTCTGAATCAGCATGAGTCTTAATGCATGTTGTCACCATTGGTACAAGTCCATACGAGCAAGTTCCCAGTGGCCTGAAAGCCTCTGTTTTCCTTATGTTCATGCACCAACCCTGGCTTACAGTCTTTTTGCCCCTCTTCTGCATTGGTCCCTGAGCCATGGCTGGGTGAGGTTTAATGTAGGAGTCCTATCCAACGACAAACACTCTGCAGTCTCTTGTTTTCAAAAACTTAGCTAGTTGTGACTTTCTGTATACATTACATTTTGTTGTATGAGGAGCTAGTGAGAGTTGAGGGATGTATTAGTATTCTCTCTACCCCCTGTTCTGCTATGTTCCATGAGCCTTAGGTGTAGAGGTTCCACTGTAGATGTGTCACAGCAGAGCATCTCTCAGACATATATTCTCTGTGTGTGACCAGTTGTGGAACTCTGTAACAGCCTCTATTGCAAAAAGATGCTTCTTTGATGAATGGTATATGGTATACTTGTCTGTTAATATAAGGATCCATATTTAGCACACAGTAAGAAATTTCAATTTGTCTAGAGATATGACAGAGGTAAGATTTTTCTCTTATATCTGTGACCTCTCCAGCCATGTGTATTTGGCTATTTGTATTTACAGTGCCACCCATGAGTTTCCTCCCATTGAGATGGCTTTAAGTCCAATTAGATAGCTAATAATTACCCATTAAAGTGCCAATTTGTAGGTAAATGAATGGAACTAGAAACTGTTACACTAAGTGAAATAACAGACCCAGAAAAGCAAGTTCTCCCTCATTTGTGGCTCTTAGCATCAATCCCTTATATGTGAGTATGTAATATATCCTTATGTAACTGCAGGAGCCAGGAAAATGTAAAGGGAACATGGAGATAAAGGTAAAGAAAGAGCATGAGAGAGGGGGATAGTAGGAAACAGATGTTACCAAGGGAGAAATGGGGAAAATGGGATTATTCAACTGGAAAGGGGTGAGGGAAGGACATACAAGGAACCATGGGGGTAAAGGAGAAGAAGAAACTCAAGATTGTCGGGATAATAGGAGACAAGGGGAAAGTGGGGGCACTTAAACTGGGGAGGGAGGAAAGAGGCTAGACAAGGAGAGGAGAGATAAATAAAGCTTGCGTGGTGTAAAAAGCCAGAGGGAAATTCATTAACTCAGAACTCCCCTGAAAATACACATACAGTAGCTGAAGGCTGTATAACAAGGAACACAGTGCCATACAGCAAAACCTCCCTTCTAGTTGTGGGTGGTCCAAGAGACTCCCAAAATAATACAGGCTATTGCCATAGCCCTTGATTACATTCCAGAACTTGAAGGTAAGATCCTCTTGCTGAAGACAGTGCATACTTCGGACATAGGACTTGGAGCAATGGAGCTGCATTTCTCTGTCAGGATAGTTCACTTATAAACTCTTTGATGTGGTACTTGAGGGAACTTGGTTAGGGACTATGACAACTCAAGTCCCCCCTCCCCCCCTTTTTTTTAATACTTTCTATGAATTTAAATTATTAGCTTTGTAGTGTTTTTCTTTTTAAAAATCTTTGTTTTCCCAGTTGTAACTGTTTCTGCTATATTGTGGGTGATGTATACTTTTGTGGGATAATGGTGGACTTAATGGTCATCTATTTGTAAGGATTTTTATGGTAGACTGTCTATTGAGTTCCCAAACAGACCTTTGAAACACTTTGCCTTAAGCAAATAGCATCTAATTTCATGCTGTACTTCTCAAATGTGATCATCCTTTATTAAATTTGCTAATTTTTCCTTTCTAGTAACAAATGAATATAATGAATCATTGCTCTACAGTCCAGAAGAACCAAAAATACTCTTCAGTATTCGAGAGCCAATAGCAAACAGAGTTTTCTCAAGTAGTCGGCAGCGCTGTTTCTCTTCAAAGTAAGTGTCCCCGGTTTGACTTGACAGTCTCATTCACATCATCAGTATGACAAATGTTTGCTTGTATTTTTTTGAGACAAATATATTTTATTTTTTTCCCAGGAATGTCACTAAGAAAGAAACCTCTCAAAAAAAAAAAAAAAAAAAAAAAAAAGAAAAGGAAACATCTCTTAATGTGTTCACTTTATTCAATTGAGAGTTAATTTTGATTATTCAACAAGGCTATTCAGCTGCGTATATTTCTCATATTTAAGTTTTACTAATATAAACAATGGTATCATCACATTGATGGTTAGAAAAGTTACTTAAAACACATCATAAAATGCACTTGAACAACAAAAGATTGCTAAATTCCACTACACTAGAATATTACATAATGTGAAAAAATGTTGTCTAAACACTTCTGGTTCCAAGCATTTGGTTAAGGGCTACTTGGTCTACATAAAAAAATTCCAGCAAATCAGTAAAAGACAGCCAGTGCAATTAAAGAAATAAAAAGGCCAAAGGTTTTTGGTATTTTACAAAGGGCAATATTTAAGGAGCCTGTGAAAAAATGCTTGACATTATTATTCATTTGGGGAATGAAAATTAAGACTATACTATGATACCACAATATACCTACTAGAATGGCTAAGGTACTAAAAGTTCAAGAGTGGATATAGTTCCCTGTGGTGATAGAAATTAGGAGAGTGACGTACTTCAGAAGAAGGGGGCAGAAACAGCAACTGGGAGTGGGCACTGGTTTTGGTGGTGATTATACTGTTCATTGAACTGTATACATTAATGACTTAGGCCTTTTTTCTGCATGCATAATCCCTAAGTAAAATTTTTATAGGAAAATACACTCTTGCTCAATATTTAAATTTTTTTTTTTTTTTTTTTTTTTCGGTCTTGCTGAGACAGGGTCTTCTGTATACCCCGCTGACCTGGAACTAGCTATGTAGACCAGGCTGCCCTTGAACTCACAGAGATCCACCTGCCTCTGCCTCCTGAGTGCTGGGACTGAAGGTGTGTGCCACTATGCATGGTGCTTAAAATCTTTATAATAGAAATAAGTTATGTAAAAATGGCCTGGGAACTGTGAAGTCTGTAGTTTTCACTGATAAATACTGAAGTGATTGGTTGTACTTTTTTTTTTCCGGTCTTTTTGAGACAGGGTCTCCCTGTAGACCCAGCTGTCCTGGAACTCACTGTGTAGACCACTCTGGCCTTGAACTCACAGAGATCTGCCTGCCTCTGCCTCCTGAGTGCTGGGACCACACCAGGCTCTGGTTATACTTTTAATATTTAAATTTGAGATGTTGACAAATGCATATTATTTACAAAGAGCTACTTAGTTTTTCAAATCAAGATCAAATAATCTATCTGCTAGTTATTTTTACAAAAATTAGAGTAAAAACCAGTGTTTAGGGTAAGCCAGTTTAATATTTAATGAGACTTTTCCTTCCTAGAGTTTGTGTTCGCTCTAGATGTTGGGATGCCTGCATGGTTGTGGATGGAGGAACTTCTTTTGAGTTTAATGATGGAGCAATTGCTTCGATGATGATCAATAAAGAAGATGAGCTTCGAACTGTGATTCTAGAACAGTGAAGGATTTCTCAGATGACAAATTTTTATTACTGGAAAAATATTTTTATTGCAGAAACAGACTTCCAGCCATAAACCTACCGTATTTTGGTTCTTTTGAGACTGGTTACCCCTAGGCTCAAAGGTGACAAAGTGGGATGTACTCACAGTGCTCTTCTGTTGGAATCTGCTAGACTAAAGCAATTCACTGTGTGAGAAAATGGGTGGACTGAATGCATTCAAGTCGATGCCAGTTATGTTTCTTTATTATTTACAATTACTAACCGTGTTGATACTCTTTTAAATTTAGAGAGGCAGGCTTAAAGGATTAACTGCACAAGTGTTTTTTTCACCCTAACTTTGTGGAATTGGTCCCACGTATCATTTAATTAGTGCATTATTTTTTATAGAACTTAAAAGATTAAAAAAAATTGATGGAGAATTTTGATAAATCTTCACATTGACCTAACTGAAGTAGATAAATGTGTTTTTATATGTGCTAAAAGAATTTTCTAATTCCAGGATACCATGATGTCATGACTATTGACTGAAAAATTTTAGTCATTTTAAAAATTGTAGCTGAATTCTGACTCATTCTGATTGATGTCAGCAGTGTTAGGTGAAATACATCTGTTGGGACAAATTATGATGCTGAATAAATACATTAATTTTCCTATACTGCTTTTGGTTAGGCAATTTTATTTTTGAAAAGTACTGAGTTCAGTATGCTCTTTTCCATCTTTGAACCTCTAACATGAATTCAAGGACTAAAGAATAACCTGATGGATATGTTCTATTAGTAGTCTGAAAAACATTTAAAAAATGTTCACCTCGTATAAGGATTGTAAGAATGGCTTCTTTAACAATATGGAAGACAGTAGTTTTGGAATTGCCTTATTTGGTATTGTGGTTTTCACTTACCATATTCCAAATTTTACATGATAGCGTTGTAGGATAAAATGTCAGAGCTTTCCCACCTTATGAAAACTGCTTTATTTTTGGAGGAAATTATTTTCATTTAGTTCTTGATTGATTTAAAGAATTAGTTTTTACACAAAGCTTGTAGCTGAATAATGAAATGGTTGCCTCATGTCATTCAAAGTTGTGTTTTCCACTTGGCAGTGAAAACTGTTTTCATTGATTAAGTATTGAACACCACTCTGTGCCATCTATCACTATGTCATACAGTGAAGTGTTGGATAGACATTGATGAAATGCTGTATTCACAACACTTGGACCCATTGAGCCCAGAAGTGAAAACTGAAAGCTAGAATGCATAAGCAGATTGAATGCTCTTAGTTTTGCTAACACTCAACTTGCTGCTCTAACTAATTAAAAAAAAATGTTAATGTGCAAAGGCAACCTAAGTTGATGTAGGTTTTGGTGTTTATCCAGAATGCTTTTCTTGAGAGTATCTGCAGACACTCAGAGGTGAGAATTTACTTGCTGCATCAGAATGTAATAAATAAAAATGAGTATTTTTTTCTGAGCAGAGTCTAATTTCTGGTTTAATTAAAAATATATGCAAGATACCGCAAAAGAAGCTAAATTCCACACAATAGAAGCTCCTCTAAAAGGTTTAAAAAACCTTAGAAAAAATGCCAACTCTGTCCTTAATATATCAAGGAAATATGGTTGTCCATGTTTTACCATCAATCTGTAACATTAATATGTAAACATATTAATAGGTAACTTGCTGTGTGAAATTGCTCATAAGCCATATTGGAAAGGTTTTAAAATTACTTAAAATGCTGATCCATTTGCAATACAATTTCTGCTCTGTGGCAGGAATTTATTTGTGATAGATGAATGGCAAAGGATGTCAGAATAGCAAAAATGTCTTTTTGAATGGGTTAACCTTTAATACAGCTGTATGCAAATAAAATTAAGCCATTGTTATCTTACTTAGTTTTTTACTTAGTTTCTTTAATTCTTAATGAGCTCATTAAAAAAGTTGGGAAAAGCCAAGGTTTCTCAAGAAAACATGTTTCAAGTCTTTCTCTACAGCTATATATTCTGTGCACTGTGGACTTCATTCACTCTTACTACTTGATGCAGAATGATGACCTGCTATTTATTCAAAGGGTAAAGTGCTTACCTGAAAATAGGACCTGAAAAGTTTTAGTTTAATATTTTTGATGTACCATATGTATTTATATTCTTAGATATATAGCCTTTATGTATAAAACATTTGTATTGATTTCACTGAGTGTGTAAGCACAATAACATAGATTAACACAATTGTAAAATATTCATTTGAGTTGAAAGTGTCAGGTAAAAATTTAAGTATACAAGGGCTGGGAAAATACATAAGAACTGTTACTGCACAAACATGGAAGACTTGTGTTCAAATCCCTAGCACCCATCAAAAAAGTTGGTAATTAACAGCACCATGGTGGGAGGAAGGGGTGAAAACAGAATTGGCTGGGGCTTGCTGGCTGCTAGCCTAGGTCCTTCTTTAGTGAGAGATCCTGCTTCAAGAGTATGGTAGAGAATGACAGAGCATGATAACCCATGTCTTCCTCTGGCACCCCCACACATGTGCAGATAATACCACACATACTCATAAAAACTGTAAGGCTATATACTGCTAAGTTGTGAAAATAATGTAAATTAGAACTTTAGTCACTAAGAGCTCATTTCATACCTAAGTATAGTAAAAAGATTCTATGGATATATAGCTAATATGATGAAAAAAATAACACTGTACAGGGAGAGAGGAGGGATAGGAGTAGATGCACTGCTGAGCTGTAATCCCAGGCCTCTGGAGGTGGAGGTAGGATTGTGAGTTAAAATAGCCTGATTCTGTCTCAAAAAACGAACTAAAAGAGTATTATAGTAATGTTTTCACATCCCATTTATTTATTTTTCTTTAAATATATTCATGAGGGTTAAAAGAGTCAGAAGGCTTACTAAATTTTGCACATTAGGAAGGTGGGCTTTAAGATATTTTGAAGGAAATCGCTGAGTAGGTGAGGAGCTAAATAAAAATAGAAATGGGGGGGGGGAGTAGACAGAGGCTCAGCAGTTAAGAGCACTTGCTGCTCTTGTGGAGGACAGGAGTTCAGTTCCCAGCACCCATGTTGGGCAGCTCACAGTGACTTTTAACTAGCTACAGGGGATTCAGTGCCCTCTACTGGACTCCATGGGCATCTGCAGATACTCAAATATACATATACATAAATTAAAGAATAAAACTTATATGGAGACATGCCAAACACCTCCTCAGACATCTCTGGGCAGGGGTCTTATATTAGGTTTATACTACCAGATCTAATGACCAGTTTATGAAGATGGTGGATCAGGGTGGGTGGGGCAGATTAACCCTTCTTTCCAAAGATCACATTAAAATCCAGAAAGTGGAACACAGATGATCTATTATTTATTTGTTATTTTTATGTATATGCATGTATTGCCTGCGTGTAGGTAAGTGCACCCGTGTGGTGCATGCAATGCCTGCGGAGGACAGAAGAGGCTGTCGGATCCCCTGGAACTGGAGTTATGGACAGTTGTTAGATGCCATGTGGGTGCTGGGATTTGAACCCGGGTCTTCTGCAAGAACAGTCACTGTTCTTAACCACTGCACTATCCTCCAGCCCCCACAGATGATCTTTAGTAAATAAATTTTAAAAGATAAAGGAGAACCTACAGGTTAAAACAGTGTCATTGAAATGCAAGGGAGTGGAACAAAAACTGGCAGTGGTGGCATAAACCTGTAATCAGCTTGAGACAGAGAAGAATCACAAGTTCAAGGGTAATGGGGTATATATATCTCCATCCTGCTCAAGCCTGAACAAAGTGAGGTCTGCTTTCAAAATCAACAATCCAATTCTTCAATACCATTGTTGTGCCCAGAGAACGGATCCCCCAAAATTACCTCAGAGTCCAGAGAGCATGCAAGAACAAAGATTCTTTATTCAGGCTTAAGCTCGGACTCTGGGTCCGTCTGAGAGCCCTGATTGCATGGGGAGGGAGCTTTTCATAGGTTTCAGACAAAGGGAGGAGGGGAATAACAGAGTTATATTTTGATTGGTCCAAAGAGCCCACATGCACCAACGTACTTTTGAATTGATTGGTTACAGTCTGGGAGGCCTCTGGTGGGTGCTGCCCTCAGGGCTATGGAATATGCTGACTATTATCTTCAGGGCTAGAGGACCCTGTTTATTCCTTATAAGGCCTCAATCCTGCCTGGGTCCCCTGGACATGCCCGGGCTTGCCTAGTCTATGACCATGAGACACCACAAAATGGAGGAATCAGTCAAAATGAAGATGGTACAGTTTGTCCCTCTGGTTCCAAGCCAAGTGATTTACAGAAACGAAAAGAGCAGTTAGTCCTAAAGAGGGGCAGGGGTCTAGGGAGTCCAGGGGAGGGGGTCAAGGAGGAGGGCTCCACACCATCCTGATATTCAATTCTTAGAATTGATGCAGAGGGCAGGAGAGATGGCTTAGTAGTTAGGAGCACTGGATGCTCTCGCAGAGGCCCCGTGTTTGGTTCCCAGCACCCAAGTGAAAGCTAACAACCAGAACTCCAGTTCCTGGAGAATTCAACACCTTCTGGCCTCTGTGGGCATTGCATGACACAGGTGCACTTATATACATGCAAGCAAAACAACATAAATGTAAAATGCAGAATCCCTTTTTTTAGAAGGAAATGTTTGAATACGAAATTACAAGTCTGGGTCTATTTCACAATAAAGTGTAGGAGTGGCTGGGGCTGGGGTGATGAGGTGTGAAAGGGGCTAAATAAGACTTGAAACTGGATGATGGAGCTCTATCAATTATAGATACTTGATGTTTTCCAGCATTTAAAAACAAAAATGGCATGGTAGTAATACAAAAGAAAAATCAGTAAATCTGAGTGACTTAAGAGTTACCGTCGTACCATATGAATAGGAAGGTTCAAAGGAATTCAAACTACTCCAAGTCTTCTGGCTGTAAAAAATGATTCAAATCATTTCCAAATGAAGGACTAGTACATGTATAAGCTGACCAAGTCTATTTACAAAGTGTTGCTAGGTAGCTTTTTACTATATGACCACATTAACCACTTGAATTAAAATGTTTTAAAAATACGTCACTGTTAAGGTTCAGATAGCCCCACCCCCTCACCAACAGGATCCCTAGGACTTCTCATGCTCCTGAGAAAAGGGAACAGAGCTGATAAGCACCTTGGTCTTTGAAGTCAAGAGAGGCAGACTTTTCTCCACTGTTTGGCCAACACAGCAGGCTTCCCCTTTGATCTCTAAAGAGGACAAGTTTTAACAGCCTTGCTCTCTCACTCCCCCCCCCCAACTTTAAAAAAATACATCTTCCCGCCTTCTGCAGGAGGCAGAAGCCTCCCTTTTTAAAAGACCCCAGCTCAAGACCTGGGCAGACATTTTCCCTGCCCGGAAGGGAATATGCCCCGTGTGTTCCTTTGCTAATAAACTCTGCCTACTCATGATCAACCCTATTCCTCATATGGCGGCTACTTTTTAATCTATCAGTCACTATTTTTGGAAGCACATTAAAGCCGATACACCTGTATTTAACACTTTTTCAAAATGCATTATCTCATTTTGACAAGCATGTGGAGTTGATGTTAACATGAAATAGGACGGTATTTAAATCTTACTTTAAAGGTGTTGCACCAAATACCCCAGAGTTGACAAAACTGATAGTTCTATTTGGGTTTTTGCTCTAATGCCTTGCACAAGCCATTCCATTAGGGACTGCTCCCTCATGTATTGGCCTAGGTTAAACAGCCTATGTCTTAAGGACGGATGGATGGTTATATGCTTCTGAAAGACTTAAACTGGTATTATTTGCTCCCATGTCCCATACTCTCACAAGCCATGTGGTGAGGGGCTCTTTTCTTGCTTGTTTGAAAGTCTGTCTAGTGCCATCAGCTCCAGTGTGGAGTATTTTCTGCTGGTTACAGTATTAAGGCTTTTTTTATTTTATTTTTTTATTACTGTCATCTATCTTTTTCCCTAAATCCTTTGACTCCTAACCTTTAGCAAGCGAAACTCTCCTGTCATGCCCCCCCCCCCGTGTTTATTCATAAGCTCTGAGGCTAAGACTAAAATAATTTACCAGTAACTCCTTAGACTTTTCCGCTTCCCCTGGGGCTGTTGCCTTTGCCTAGGACAAGTCTTTTATTATGCAAAGAAGTGGCCAAGCCACAACTCTGGCTTCCCCTTTTGCTGCCAAGGTTTGTAAAATTTTTTCTAGGCTTTCCACAATCCTTAAAGAATTTTCACACACAGGTGGCCCTGGCTCCCATCTCCAAGCCACTGAGCTGTTTTACACCATTTACCCGATGGTGCCCATCTGGGATTTTCTCCGTTGAATCTGTCCCTGTCTGTTAGTTAAAAATTTTGCTATCCATCGCATAACCCACATAACTGCTGCCAACCCCATTAAGCATGTGGGTATTGCCCACTCTCCCCTGGGTTCCTGCCAGCTTCTCCGGATCGGTTGCCTTACGGCACTGGCAACGCCCATCTCTGCCCTTCTGGATTTGGGAATCTGAACCTGACTCCCTTACAATAGGCTCACTGAACACCACTGAAACCATGACGATTTCCAAGGCCCACATCCCCATTGTTTTTCCCAAACTCCTGCAATTTATCATCGAGCATCCAGCTATACTAGGTCTGACAGGATACCTTCTATTTGGGTTTTTGCATAGTTTATGTCATCCAGGAGGGGCATGATCGGTTTTACATCTCTGATAAGCTTTGAGAAGCTGCCCTCCAGTGGCTCACCAAGATGGCACTCCCCCTCCCCCTTTTTTTCCCCAGTGTGCTCAGTGTGTGTCAGTGTTGTGGCATCTGTCCCTAGACACCCCCCTCCCCCCGTCTGAGTCTCTTGGGGTTCAGTTCTAGTTCCCTTGGAGGACACACCTACCTGACAAGGCCTGAGCCAAATGACAGCCTAAACTGAGGCTTTCTGGTTCTAACTGATGAAAGAAGGGATACAAATTAGCAAGTACTCATTTTTATAAAAATTATTTTATTTTAAAACAAGTCTATAAAAGTAGAAATCACATACAAAAATACAGATGCTGCGATGTGTTGGCAAAATAGCTTACAGCTGGACTTGAGTAAGGAAGAACAGGTACTGTGTGTGAGGGTGTCTGGAGGTTGGGAGTCCAACCGGATCCCACCATCATCAGCCCTTGTCACTAATCTGTAAACAATAGTTTCAAGTAGTATTTAGCACTTTTTAACTACTAGGAAAGTGAAGCATTATCATTTCCTGTGTAACACTTTAAAAACTGTTCTTTAGGTCTGAGCAGAAAAAGGCACTTCATATTATTGTCTGTAACATAAAATTTTTTTGATGAAAAAAAGTTAATAGAAAAGATGAGTCTTGGCACCTTTGTTGCATTCTAAAGAGATCAGTCTTAATTTTCTTCTTCACAAATTTTAAGAAACAATTTGATCTTTTAGCTTTTATATACCAGGTGTTAAAAAACTAATGCCATCAAAAGGTCCAACACCTGAGTCTTTAAAACACCTTAAGTGCAAGCAGTGCCAGCTGCTCCAAAGCTGCACGTGCACCTACTTCTAGTGTATTTCCCGGTCAGAGAAATAAGCAGTTCTTCCTAGGGAACTTTAGGTCTAATAACCTAAGTAGTTTCAAACACTATTGTGAAAAACCACATAAAGAATTTAAAATACTTGATTTCAGAGTAATATAAAAATAACTTCGGCGCTAAAGAAAAAATAGCAGACAGTATCAGTTCAGTTCTATCCACTTCAAGAATAGATGCTGATTACAATAATGCCATCTTTCTAATACAAAGCAAGTCATTTTAAAAGCTAAACAACCCACATTAACACAAATTGATTATAAAGTTAGAAAAGCACAATTAAGATTCCCTCACCTAATTCTGGGAATACAGTACCTAAAACATTAAAGGATACTTCATATTAATCTGGCTTAGAAAATGGCCTTTTGAGGCTTCAAATCCTATACCAATTCTGTACTTTCTCTCATATAGAGTTTAAGGTCAATTATGTGACTGTATTTCTATTAAACTAACTTCAAATCTGAACACAAAGTTGAGTGTATTTTTAATTCCCAGAAGAGATTGCCTCACATGCCACTAGCCTGTGATTCTGTTCAGCTCACAATACAGATAGCTTATTATTCTTCAAAATCAAGTTTTATACTGAAAAATTAAATAGATAAAAAGTTACCACAAACACCATGAAAACTATTAGCCAGGGGTAATTTTTAAAAAGTGATTTTAAATACAATTTAATCAGAAGGGCACTTAAGTTGGCTCAAATTTTGCTTCAAAAAACTATATTGAAATTATAGGCCCACCTAAAAATTTCAGACTTAAAACGTAGGCCCTTAGGGCACAGACAGCACTGACAGAAGCATTTATAGTTATTTTAAAAAGCAACACTTCATAGTTCTCTCTCTTAAATGGTTCCCTAACACTGTGCAGAATGAAGGCTAAGTTAAAACCAATAATAAAAGTAACTGGATTCTCCAGCAACTGGGTTTGCTGCCTATACTACTCATTCCAAAGGAAGAGGAGACTCCACCCTGCAGTAAGTGTTTCATACACAACTGGGCTTTTGCAGAGTCAGTCGGCACTTGATACCCCATATCTCTGGGCTTTTTTTGTTGGCAGTAGTTGGCCTGGCAATGGTGGTGAAATAGGAGCAATTAATCTGCAGATGAGGAAGGGCTTCTCTCAACAGTTGAAGGGTACCATCTGGCACGATTCCAAAAACTTGTAGTGTTTTCAGTGTCGGAATTTCTCCAAGTTCACTAGAATGGAAGAAAGACTTTCAGAATCTATGGGCACTGTTGCACTATAGTTATAGAATCTAATGTTTATTAACAAATAATTTGAGGAAATAACACAAGAAACTCAAAACTGAGAAGCACAGTTTCTGGCTAGAAAATAAATCTATGTGTTCAGTGAGGCTCCTGACATCCTTAGAACCCTCTGAAGTCTGTTTTTTAAAATTTAAATGGGCTTCCTTTCTCCATTGCTTTATGTAGCAATTTGGAAGGGGTTACTGTGATGTCAGCTAGCAAGCTGCTGATGGTAAAGGTAAAGGTTTTACTACTGGTGTCAGTTGGAACTAGCCCAAGATGCATGCAGTTAGGAATCTGGCATGACTTTTATTTGAACTATGCTCTCTCAAAAGAAGACAGCAGTACTGATGGCATCTTTTTAATGGTTCACCAGTAATAAAATATGTGCAGGGCAGGAAAACCTACCAGAGACTTCCTTAAAGTACTTTAGATAGGGTTATATAGAGTGCAGATGGAAAAATGGGATACCAGTCACATATATTCATGGCAGTCAATAACCTATACATACTAGATACATACTAGGAGTGTCCATGATGTTGTGTGTGTCGTCCCCCCCCCCCCCCCCCGCCGCCGTGAGACAGGTCAGACTTCTTACATATTTCATGTTAGGTGACCATGTGTCATAAACACGTGTTAACAATGAGATTTGGGTTCACAAAAAGTGATCCTGTTTATCCAAAGTAAACACCTTTTGATTTGGGGTAATGATTCTTTTAAATGTGGGTCTCTGTGCCTAGAAATTCATCTCTCTGATCTATATTTGCTCAAGGTTGGGACACAAGTACAAAGTCTCAGGAGGGGGAACATTTAGTTTGGATTTTCAGCAAAATCTCTTGGAAGATCAATAAGCACATCGATGACCTAGGGTTGGAAGCAATTTTTGTATTTTCACAGTAATTATTCAAACAAACCAGGCTTGGCTTCCAACCCTGTAGCCTTCCAGCTTATTATATATAATGCCCATGACATCCTCCTAAAGGCTCAGTCAGATTGTGTCATTCATATGCTCCAACAGCACTGATGTTTCCCAAATGTTTAGAGAACCCACATGGTTCAGTTCAGTGGTCTTAGGGCCTTCCATGTTGAACTTGCTCTACTGGTCTTGCCACTGTCCCTCTAAATGCACAATCCACAAAATCTGGTAATGTGGTTAAGCACCACAGATGGTCAGTATATGTTGTGGAATACAAGATGAAGGGTAATTTAGAAAATAAAAGATCTAAAACAAATGTGTTTGCCCAAAAGGGGCAGTGAGTGAAATTGGGAAGGTCATATCAGAGGCAGAGGCAGGTGGCTCTCTGTGTGTTTGAGGCCAGCCTGGTCTATATAGCGAGTGCCAGGCCAGGTGGGGCTACAGGGAGACCCTGTCTCAAAAAGCCACCCCCCAAAAAAAAGAAGAAAAAGAAAGGTCATAAGCCATAGATGTTATATTTGTTCCCACTAAAGATCATCACAGCCAAGTTGTGAGTCATTCTGCAATGGATGACTTTAAAAGAAAAACTGTAGGTGGGACTACAAAGAAGAGGGACAGCGGATGGCAGGCAGAGAAGGAAATGTTCTAGCAACAGCACTGGGAGAGAGTTGTCGGGAGGGATATCACAAGGTGCACTCAGCACTACGAGTGAGAAGCTGCAGAGATTGGCTGATGGGTCAAGGGTCAGAAAGTCTTGAAAACTGTAAGAAAACAAAACATCGCTTCTTGTATTAGCCACACACAGAAGAACAAACTTACAAGTATCTCTGAAGATGCTAGAAGACTGAAAACAAAGGAATAGTTTAAAAGCCATTGTTTCTAGTTTAAGTGATATAATATTGATAATATCTTCAGGTTCTGTTCAAATTTAATTTATATATAATAAGAATTTAATAAATAATAAAAAGACATTCATACAAGAGGTTGGGGTTGGATCATAGTCCAGCCTGGGGATACACAGTGAGACCTTATTGCACAACAGTATAAAAGACATTTATAAACTCAGGTTTATTCCTTATTTCCTCTACACAATCCTGTTTTCCTTTATAAGATGTAAAGCGCTTTACCTAATGAAATTTTAAGTGTCTCCTAATCTCAGATCAGTTTTCTCTCCAGCTTCGGTTTCTCATTGAATGAGAAATACTTAGAAGAAAATTCAGATGTGGGAAGTAAGACCAATTAAGGAATAAGAAAATACAGTAAGGGACTTAAAGGGGTACTGAACCCTAAGATTTTTAAAGTCTTTTAAATCACTATTACAGAAGACTTTTTTTTTTTTTTTTTATTCTCTTCCTTTTGAGATAAGATATCACCTTTTATTTTTCAGTACAGATGGCTGGCTCTATGGACATGTTGGAATTTTTAATAAGAATTTCAAATGCATTATCTTCCAGAATGACTAAACTGGTAGATAGGTTACCAACAAATTCATCTTAAAGGATTTTCAACATAAGTCGTTAAAGTATTTACATGATGCTCAAAGAAGCACATTGAAGTTCAAGGACAACATTTTGTTCTCACTCTATTCTGGTGCTCTATTAAAGCCCCTGTTGGCCTTCTTTAAAGGCTAGATTTTGACAAGTAATGATTATGCAGGGCTTCACTCACACCTAGGTCTGGGGCTTCATCCTTACATTCTTCACTGGTTCACATGGGAACTACTATGTAGGTACACCATGATCTCACTGGATGTAAATATTAAAAAATGTGAGGGACCACAGCCTTCCCCTCGCCTCAGCTAAAGGGAAAGCATTTGAGTTACTTTCTGCTCAGCTTCTTTCTTTTCACAGTGAAGAATAAAATCAAGATGCTTAGATAGATTCTCTTGAGAAAAAAGAGAAAAGAATCATCCATCTCTTGCCAGGGAGCTGCCCAGGTGAAGGAGGAGCCCAGATGGCAAGGATGACAAGAATGGGCAGATACCAGAGGATTCTAGGAGTTCTAGATGCTAAGAAACAGGGTTTCAAGTAAGAATTCTGTGAATATGAATTTGGTTGTAAGATCTGATCCATTCATTTGAGGACTAAATAAATCACTTGTTCAAATTCACCATTTTTAAGTAGGAAAGCTGAGTCACTATTACTAACATTTGGGCAGCAAGATAAGTACACTGGCCTCACTAGCGCCATGTCACCCAGATGTACTAAAAAGAAAGGTATCTGAGCAAGGGCAAGAAACTGACCTCTAGTGGTTTTCAGTGAAGTTGCTCTACATTTACTTTTGGTATAAGGAGAATATTATAGCCATTTGGAATGAAATAAGGGAAATTTTTACAAAAATAAGAGATGGTACCATTCACAGGATGCCTTGTATGGCACCTCCTAGAAGAAAGAGGTTGGATTGCTTTTTACCTTTGCACTTGCTTCTGAGCAGGTAAAATTAACTTTAGATGAGATCACAGATGATTCTGCATCTCCTAGGAGACTCAGATCTGTACTCAGCCAGGACCATGCCTGGATAAGACTTCACGTTCATGGACTTCCACACTAGGTCTGCCTTCCCAAATGTGAGTGCCATAAATGTAAAAGCTTTCTCTTTTGCAAGTCCTTCACACACACAAAAACACTAGAACAGCATTCTAACGCTATGATGCTGACATAAAATAATAAATGCTTAGTTAATGGTTTCAGTCAACTCAAGTTTACCAGACATTTTAAGTATACAGTCTGTGAGCTATACTGCTATTCTTTCCTAGCCAGTTTGTGGTATATTATATTAATGTTTGCATTTCGAATATTTTGTAGGAATAATTGATTTTGACACCAAGTATTGGTCTCTGTTTTCTATTAGCATAAAAGCAAAATATACTCACAGTAGAGTTTCAGGTATTATATCATAGCACCGGCTGAGTGACAGGTGTTGGAGGTAGCTGAGCTGAAAAAATTCTGGAAAGCAGTCATTCTTTAGCATGATACTGTCACTGTAACACAAAAGAAGAAAGGAGATTCAAAACCGCTCATCAATCCTAGACTGAGAATACATGGTTTAATTCCTTTCAGTCAATGTTAACATTCTTTCTCCATTTAATGAGCAACCAATACTTTTCAGCTTTTGCTCTAAAGCAAACAATACCTTAAGTCGAGGTGGACAAGGTTGGGACATCTTCTAATTAAGGTAGAAAGATCTAGGAAAAACAAACAGATGTGATGGTCATGGTCACTATCAAATGAAGAAAAGGATAATGATATTTGCCTTCACGGCTGTCCTTTAACACTGTGCTACAAGTTTGCAACAAGACATAGTAGCACAGTATTAGGAAAAGTCAAAGTGATCTTGACATAGAAAACTTCCTATTAAGAAAATCCAAGAGATCACCTGAAAACTCCTAGAAATGTTAAAAGAACTGTGCAAAATCACTGAGTAACAAACTATTGCCTAAATATCTGAGGTGACTGGCTGGAAAAATAAAAGGAAATCCCAATTTACAATAGCAAAGACAAAAAAAACAAACCAAAACCAAACACCAGTACACAACAAAGGCAAATGATATTTTATAAATAAGACTTTTCAAATCATTAAAGGAAGTCACGCACTATTAAAAACACTGTTCCTGGGCTGCAGAGATGGCTCAGTGGTTAAGAGCACTAGCTGCTCTTGTGGACAACCAAGGTTCAATTCCCAGCACCTACATGGCAACTACCAATCATCTGTAACTCCAGTTCCAGGGGATTCAATGCCCTCTTCTGACTTCCCGGAGCAATGCACTACACAGGTGGACTTACTTGCAGGCAGTACCTTCATACACATAAAACAAAAATAATAAATAAATTATTAAACAAACAAACCCTCAAAAATTGTTCCTACCATAACTGAAAAATGATTTTTCAATTCAAAATTATAA